TGCTACGCTCTAAACAAAATCTGTTCTTTATTAGCTGGTAACCAATATGAAACACAGATTGACAACTATCTGCTCCCCTCACCTGGCTGTACCATCTTGGCTTTTTCCAAGCCTCGGATAGAATTGATCACCTGCTCCTGGAGCTCAGGCGGCAGTGTCATTGAGAGGCCTTGGGGGTAAATGACGTTGGAGTCCAAGCCTTCGGGCTCCAGCCACACCTGATGCTCACGGTTTGGGAAGCGCAGAACCTTTGCTTCCAAAGAGGGACAGTATCTGCGACATGAAATAGCCATAAGCATCATCTGATCTGGAGAAAAGGCAATTTTCCAGAAGCAAAATAAGGCAGATGCACAGTTTCAGCTCCCACCACTGAGAGCCTCGTATGGCACCACGTACTTACCGGGGACCCTTTGTTGTCTCCCTCACATGGTTGTTCAGGTGGAGGTTATCTTGAACAATTTGCTGAGCTTTCAGGTTCGTGTAAGTCAGGTAGCATGACAGCTGATCTTCTGGCTGAAAGAGGCCAAAGCTCGCTTTAAGGTAATCCAGTCACAATACCCTGCTGAACAGCTCTGGTCTGAGGACCTCCAAGCTTGGACAGCTTGCTCTCAATTCCTGCAGAGCTGGGTAGTGCTGTTCTACCTACTGCACATACAGAATGAGAGTAATCAGACAGCTTGTGCAGTATGCCCAAAAGCAGACCAAGAACACAACCTGGGAGTCCAGAATCTGAGTTCTATCCTATACACTGCATTAATTACAGGATGGATACTCATACTAAAGCAGCAGGTTCTCTCACAGCATTCACATTAACTGCAGTAACTCAAAGCTCTAAAGAGGAGCAAGTGTTGACTCTTCAGCTACCAGCCAATTAAAGTTTGCTGAAGACTAAAGAAACCTCTCAAAATCCTGCAGTTAACATGGAAAATTCAAAATTTGGAAAGAAAAACACTATATAAAATATTTCACTATTTTTTTCTGGAAAAAAAAAGGTGATAGACTAACATTCAAAACTGTAATAAATGTTGCGTTTTAACTCCTTAAAACCTATCCCACAAATACCTAGGACTTCACGTGATATTACATCCTCAACCCCTCAATTATAGTAGATCAATTCCTGTATGTTTTGGGACAAATTAACTCCTTATACTTAATTTGGTGCTGTTTAGCAACAATACGTAATAATGCCATCCATTTTGCACAGTTTTCTTTGGAAAATTGAGTTTCTTCTTTTAATTTACTGTTAACATGCCACCTCTTAAGTTCTTTGGCTAACTCCATCCTTTCTTTCTCCCAGCCAACGCTACTAATGATCTATATTTTCAGTATTTTAATCTGTTACTCTAGTGCTTTGGTAGCAAACAAGATACAAATCTCCCCAATACTGGTCTAATACCAGCTGTATTTTGTACATCACACGTTTACCCAGCACAGAAAGAATACTGCTAACAACACCCTATTTTATGCAATTTTCACCGTAAAGATAAAGGAAGTGGTCTCCAGGTTGGGCAGCAAGAGGAAAAATTGCTTGCTTTGAGAAGTGAGCAAGCAATTCCTTCCTTTGTGTGGAAAACCTCAGAAACTTAACACTTCTAGCATGGAGAATACTGCTCAGCTCACCTTCCCGGCCATGAAAATCCCTTAAATCAGCTCCCTGGGGGATTCTCAGCGTGACATTCCCCGAACCACCCTGAGTCACTCTCCGGCTACACATGCATTGCATTTCACTTGTGCTACCTTGATCCACACAGCCTTGCTGAGGAAGCTGAACGGCACAGGGGGGTTGTCAGCTGTACGTTCCTCCAGGCCACTGAAGTCAATCGTGTCCTTGGCCAGCCGCGGCGGCGTCCCAGTCTTCAGCCTGCCCACGGCGAACCCCAGCCTCTCCAGCGTCTGCGCCAGCCCGACGGATGGCTGATCCCCTAGGCGCCCAGCTGGATGCTTCTCCAGCCCAACGTGGATCATGCCCCGCAGAAACGTGCCCGTGGTCAGGATGACACTCCCCGCGTGCACTGTGCTCCCATCCCCTGAAACGGCAAGTTTTCAGAGGTGCGTTTATTTTACTATCAATGGAGCCCTGGTATGCTGGTCTAGAACTAGGCTAACTGTCCACCAAGGGCTTATGCAGCTTTTATTATTTGACCAAACCAGTATTTCAATAGCATTAATAACAGTAACTATCATAAGCACCACGTACAGTTACTCCTATATTTTTATTATTCCCCTAAGTGTGTTACCCAAATACAGAAATCCCACTCCTGGGAAAAACTCCTGTCCAGGCCTTTATTTTGGAAAGCCTGCTTACTAGACCAGCGAGTGGTAACAAACCATGAGACTGCTAGTAACAGGGCACTACTGCCCAGAAACATCGTCTGCAGCATACTCTGTTTGCCAAATAAAATTTCATAATGCCGCGTGGAATTCAAAATCACGAGTCTGGAGAAGATTAAACATATCTGAATTCTCAATATCCAACCAATCATGTTTTTTGTTGTAATAGAGGTACTTACTTAGGCTTAGTTTACACCAGCCTAATTGGGTGTAATTTGCCTATTGGCTAATTCAGCTTTCTCACTGCTGAATCAGAAGTGTTTACCCTGCAGGCTGCTCTTAGTGTAAAGCAACTGAGGGTTGTACATACCCAGAATGACTCCTCTGACTCGGCACTTCCCAGGATGGTCTGGTTCTGGTTCTGTCAAGAGAAGATCTTCCACAGATGCCTCATGAACTGTCAACAGTGGTGTGTTAAGGATTTCTTTCTGTCATGAAAGGAGTTACTGCAAACATCTGGGAAGTTCTGAGACATTTCAGCACTCCCACACCTTGCCAATTAACAAATTACGTCAGCTTCTTTCCCTTTCCACTCTTACCAGGCCACCTGACAGCCATTCAACTACTGTACCAGTTCCTGATTTATTAATTTGAACTTTCCATTCACAGAGTTTAAGCTCAAGAGAAACTATTTGTTTATGAACTCTGAAATGTACATAAAATGTTAGAGAAATGATTAAGACTACGCTGAGCCCCAACAATCTATACTGTATTAAAGCACCAACCTGAAAGGTATCTAGTTTTGACAGGAAGATGTCAAAAAAAAAAAGTATCATCTTCTATAATTCACCCTAATACTGCAGCTTTGACTAATATATTCTAATACTCCAGCACAAAAATACACAGAGAAAATTCCAAGAAACAAGCCCACATTTTAAAACTAGTCATCGTTCTTGATTTTCTCTCAAAATACTCTGCAACACCAATCCTGCTGTTTTAACGCAGTATACAGGTATCCTAACAGGTTGCTGATCTATCCTGAAACAGTCGCCTTGGGACCCCTCTACACTAGGGCTCTTGTTCTACCTCAGCAGGTGGGTTCAGGTCCCAGCTGTTAATATGGTGGGTGCTGTGGGACAGAAGCAGGAGCTGGTGGCACACATATCGAGTCCAGCTGATCGTCCTACCCACTGCTCTGTGGGGCATCTGACCCGACCATACAGGGCTTGTAAGCACACAAGGCAGTGCTGTCCCTATTTATGCAGAGCCCCCTCAGACAGGTTCTTGCAGACAACGTCCAGCTCTGCAAAACGCTGCCATATTACCACCAGCTGCATCTCACCTTTCAAATATAAATATTACATGATATAAAACAAAATATATTTTAGATTTAAGTTTCCAAAAAGGAAAAAAAAAAGTATGTATCTGAGGGTACTTAATGTGTCTCAATAATATCTTATTTTGTTTATGAGCTAAGGAACTACAATTCCTTTGCAGCTTTTTGCAGTCCTCAGATCAATGTTTCTCCTTCCTCCACTGTGCTTTAACTTTCAAATATCCTCACAGGCTGCAGAACAACTGAGACCCTTATGAGATTGTTGAACAGCGCAAGCTTCCTTAACGTTTGTTTGGTGCACCTACTTTCTGTTATTCTGATCTAGAGGGAATGGCCTCAAGTTGCACCAGGGGAGGTTCAGGTTGGACATGAGGAGACATTTCTGCTCAGAAGGTGCAGTGAGGCATTGGGACGGGTTGCCCAGGGAGGTGGTGGAGTCACCGTCCCTGGGGGTGTTCAAGGAGAGGTTGGACGTGGTGCTTGGGGACATGGGTTAGTGGGTGACATTGGTGGTAGGGGATGGTTGGAGCCAGATGATCTCGGAGGTCCTTCCCAACCTTATTGTCCCTACGATCTCCTCACCAGGGGACAGACTCGGCACTCCCCGGCCTGCCGCAGCCCTGCCACCCCCCTCACCCCCCGTCCCCCTCTCACCCGCATGTTGTCCCGGTAGAGGCCGCGGTCCACCTGCGCCCTCAGCCCCCAGACGGCCGGCCCCTTGCAGCGGTTCAGCACCTTGTAGTGCACCCCGGCCAGGTCGCACACCCGCCCGCACAGCCCGTCCAGGGCGTCCACCTCCCGCACCAGGTGCCCCTTGCCGATGCCGCCGAAGGAGGGGTTGCAGGACAGCTGACCTAAGGGTGGGGGACACACAGGGACACGGAGCCGTCAGCACCGGGCTGGGGGCGGCGCAGGACGCCCCGAGCCGCCCCCACCCCACCCCACCCCACCCCAGCCCCGCTGCCGGTACCGATGGTGCCGATCCTGTGCGTGAGCAGCAGGGTGCGGGCCCCGCCGCGAGCAGCCGCCGCCGCCGCCTCGGTCCCGGCGTGGCCGCCGCCGATCACCAGCACCTCGTAGCCCGGCGCCGCCCCGCTGTCCGCCCAACGGGGACCGGGGCTGGGTGGCGGCAGCGCCAGGCGGCGCCAGGCCCCGCGGCACAGCATGGCTCCCCCCCGGCACCCAGCACCCAGCACGGCCCCGGAACGGGAAGCGGCGCCCGAAGGAGCCGCCACGTCCCGCGGCGCCCGGGCGCCCCTCAGCGGCCGCCCGCCCGCCGGCTGCTCCGGGAGGGCGGTGCCGCGGCTCGGCCCGGCCCCGGTGCCAGCCCCTCCGCCCGGCGGGACTTTCGTTTCCTCGGCGCCGCCGGGAAGAGGAACCCGCGGCGCGGCTGATGGAGGGCCCCGGGGAGCGGCGGCAGCGGGCGGTGCGGAGCAAGGGGAGCGCCGGGCGCGGCTCCTCCGGCGGCGGCGAGCCGAGGGAGAGGGAGGGCGGCCCCGCGGGCAGCGGGCGCGGCCGCCCCGCCAGGGCAGCCCCGGGAGGAGGGAGGCGGCCGGGGGGCTCCGCGGAGAGCGGCGGGGAAGCGGCGGTGGCGGTGCCCCCGCTGAGGCTGCGGGCGGTGCTGTCGCAGCTCAGCCTGGGCCGGAGGGACGTGTCCGAGGCGTCGGGGCTGGTGAACCAGGTGGTGTCGCACCTCATCCAGGCCATCCGCGGCAGGGACGGCGGCTTCGGCACCATCAGCAGGCTGGGAGCCGGCAGCTACTACGAGCGCGTCAAGGTGGGTGCGGGACGGCCCCCCTCAGCCCCCGGGCACGGCTGCCTCAAGCTCCGGGCACGGCAAGGCGATGAGGCGATGTGCTTCCTCCTAGCTGGTCCCTGAGGGCAAAAGGGAGACCGCTGAGCGCTCACCTGGCACTTAGAGCAGTGTAGGAACCCCAAAAGTCTCCTAAAAAGTCAGGGAGTTGAAAGAGGGAGTAACATCAGGACAGCGCTGTTCTCCACAGCGATCCTGTAACAGGAACCCGCCAGAAATCAGCTCCTGTTTCATGCCAGACGTGGCAAACACACAAAGGCCTTCCCGCGTAAAACCTCAGCCTGAAGAGAATAAAGCCAAAGTCGCACTTTTAATGCGGTGCTCTTGTACTTTGCAGATATCTGAGCCAAACGAGTTTGATATCATGCTTGTAATGCCTATCGCGAGGATTCAGCTAGATGAGTGTGATGACACTGGAGCCTATTATTATCTAACGTTCAAAAGAAACCCAAAGGAAAAGTATTTGAACAGGTTTTTAGATGAAGACGGAAAATTATCAGCCGATAAAATGCTTACAGCACTAAGAAAAATTATTAAAGAAGAAGTAAAAAACATTAAAGGTAAGTACTGAGCGAACAAGTTCCCCACAGCAATGTGAAAAATGCAGTTGTATCTTAAGGTCTCCTATCCCATGTATAGCACTGCCTACAAAACCTATGCATTTTGAACCTCTCTGCCCTACACAAAGGACTATTTGCTGAACTGGTAGCAAAATGAATTAAACTATCTCATAAGGTAGTATTATTTCACATCTGTCTACAAGATGTGTCTCCGTCCCCTTTTAGGGTGCTCTTTTTCGCAAAAGCCTTCTGTTATGTCATGGCCAAATCACTTTGGTCTAAATGTTTTCTGTAGTGAAACAGTTCATTAGAAAGCATAATTATATATACAGAAGACATCTCAAATAGAATCAAAATTCTTAAAAAAAAAAAGTTCAATCAGTTCAAGTTTTCCTTATTTTGTAGATGGCCTCAACTGGCCTCCTTCATGTTTTAAAAATCCATATGCATTTCACAAATCCTACAGGATAAGGCACCTGAGACTTTTGACTGATTATAAATTCCTGTTCAGTAAACACCTTATCTTCAAAAAATGCTTCTAACATGATTTTTTTTTTTTTTTTGTTACTAGATGTGGAAGTAACTGTGAAAAGGAGAAAGGCTAGAAGTCCTGCAATAACTCTACTGATCAAAAACTCTTCAGCAGAAATATCAGTGGACATCATCTTGGCTTTGGAAGTTCAGCAGAGCTGGCCTCCCAGCACTCAGGACGGCCTCAACATTGAACGGTGGCTAGGAAGAAAAGTCAGGAGAGAGCTCAGAAATAAACCGATTTATTTAGTAGCCAAGCAAAACAAAAAAGAAAAGGTTCCAAGAGGTACTTCAAATACATACAATAAGCCTAAGTTAAGAAATATCTTCTCTACAACTCGATTGCTTATAAATGTCATAAAAAGGGTATCCAAATTCTGTTCAGTATTCTGCCATCAAGGTACACAGACCTTTAATTTATCCTGGATGTAGCCAGATCATCTTTGAAACCCCTCTTTAAAACATCAGATTCGTGACGCTGCTTGTCCTGTGCTGAAATCTAATGACAAAACTGCTTTGCAGACTGTACAGCAACAGATTCTAACAGTATTATATTCAGTCTATTAAATCCAAGACAGGCATATGCATTTTCCCTGTGCTAGAGCTGTATGAAACAGCAACATCCACTCATTTATAAGGAAAATAAATTAAGGTAATTTCTAAAAAGACACAGAACATCCCTGTAAATGGCACTTAGAAGTTCTACACTTCTGCAGGAAGCAAACTGTACTTTTTTTTTTTTATCATGATACATTATTTCTCAATGAAATCTAACATGGCTGCAGCATGACTGCTATTATTATTTTTTTTTCCTAGAGGACTGTTACACCAAGCCTACATTAGTTTGCAGAAACATCTCAACTTGGCATTGTATTATGATAATTGATGGTTTCAGCAAAAAGTGTTCTGGCAGCTTGGTATTTTTTTTTTTTTTTTAAAGTTAGGATACCTATCTTAACAGTGCCAAATAACTCACCACTGCTTTACTGGGCTCTTCCTCACTGAAAATTAAATGCAAATAGTAATCAAACCAAACAGGTAGGGAAACAGTATAGCTTACGTGAGGAAGACAAAAATGACTGTTGGTGTTTTAGAAATCAGGGGCTGAGCTGTTTTCAGATTACCAGAAAAACAAAAATAAATGTTTTTAAGCAGTTACCAAAGACAAGCTCAGAAGTAGATTACTTGCACTATGAAATTTAAACTAATCATCAAGATTTGTTTACTCAAAACCAAAATGGTTAAGCAGTAAAGCCAATAATACAGAACAGAAATTGAGAGGTAGTAGATTTCTGTAAGCAGTGTAATTATTCCCAATATGATGTTCAACAAATGCCAGAAAGTTCAGAATCAAGCTTAATTTTAAAAACTGAAGCCAAACATCCTCGAGAATATAATGAAAGCATCCAGGCAATTAATTACAGCCTATAGTAACTATTTTATTTGTATGGAGAGGCTGAGGAATTGAGGAGTTCACTTGTTTTAGTAACTACTATACTAAATTTATTTTTTTTAGGTGCAAAGAAATTGTTGATATTTTAAATTCGGTCAGTTTTAAGTTTTTTTTTTTTTTTTTTTTTTATAGGTACTGACACCAGTATTTACTGCTGTGTAATCATGTATCAATCTTGTACCCCACTTTAGGAAACACCTGGCGAATCTCTTTCTCACATATTGAAAAGGCCATGATGAACAACCATGGCAGCATAAAGACATGCTGTGAAACCGATGGAGCAAAATGTTGTAGGTTGGTATTTTACAGTAATATTTTACTTTAAGCTAGTTTGAGCCTTAATGTTGCCCAGTAATGTTTCAGTTTAACATTTAAAGAATTTGGTCTAAGAGTGATTATTCTTAACAAGGAGCAAGAATAAGAATTTTAAGCATTAATTCTTGCACTACTGTTCTAGAGTAGTACAAGCTTGCAGGTACTCGTTGGATGTCTGACTTGCATTTACTTAAAGAGAGATGGGAACAAATCACATTGCAGATTTATGTTCCAAATTTGCCTTTCAAAGCAAACAGATCTGACTTGCCAAGTAATCTTTCCTAAAGTCAGTCCTATTTAGAAAAATTAGCTCAAAAGTCTGATGACTCAGCTTTCTGAGCTTTGTAAGCAAATTACAGTTCATGGCAAGGCAATTTATTAGATGATGTTGAGAAAAGAACTGCTGAATGGGATCAGGATCAATAAATGTGATTTTTCACTCTAGTAACATCTGGTTCCCACATTTCTTTTAAGAGAAAAAAAACTGCATCAGCTACAGAACCTATTTTATGGCAAAACCACTTTGTAGTTTACTTGATTTTATCCTGCACAGAATCAAGAAAGTCACGAGAGAACCAATACAGAACTCCTTATCTTTGCTTTATAAGTAGTATCAGACATGCTATGTCCTTGCCTAGCAATGAATTGAACTACACCTCTTCAACTCAATGAGTACCACAAGGAGGCAGTGGTACTGCCTTCAGTGTAAATCCAAGCTCAAAGCACAGCTTTAATCTTCAGCAAGTGCTCCAAGTTCACATGGATGCAATTGGCTTTCTGGGCTGCAAGTGCCCCAGTGCCAAGTCGTGTCAAGCTTCTCATCAACCAGCACCCCCAGCTCCTCCTCCCAATCCATTCTCCACCCAGCCTGTATTTGTACATGCAATGTGCTGGAATTTTCTTTCATAAATAATGAGTATTTAAATATCTAAAATAGATGTTTAGAACTGACTACATAGAAGGTACCTAATAAGCTCTTATTTATTTAACAGGAAAGATTGTCTCAAACTTCTGAAGTATCTTCTAGAGAAACTTAAAATGAAATACACAAAAGAATTGGAAAAATTTTGTTCCTATCATGTCAAAACCGCCTTTTTTCACTCATGTGTCATTTGGCCAAATGACACAGACTGGCAGTACGAAAACCTGGAACACTGTTTTCAGAATTACTTGGGGTATTTTCTGCGTTGTCTGCAAGATTCTCAGCTGCCGCACTTTTTTATTCCCCAATACAACTTGCTCAGTCCGGATGACAAAGCAAGCAACCATTTCCTTTCCAGACAAATAAATGATCAATTGAACAACAGATTCCCAATATTTCAGCAGGGATATTAAAAAAGTTATGTACAGTAACTACCTGAAAGCAAATCAAGTAGATTTGCGTATTGTAAAATGTGTTTAACACCTCAAGCTACGTCTCAGTAGTTTGATACTATCAAAAAACAACACCAAACCCTTAAAAGAAACTGGAAATTTTAATTAATATTTGATAGAGTTATGAAGGCAACCTGACTGTAATGTGAAAAATCCCAACATGAGATGACTGCTAAACACAGAAGAAAACATGCACCAGCTTGGAAACTTGAGAACTTGACCTTCAACCTAACAACAGCCTGGGACCAAAGGCCATCCCTGAAATGTGGCTGAATAGCTCATACCAGTCATCATTGTTACACCTATACATACATTATATATATTTACATTATATAGATGGGTACATATATATGTACATATACATACATATTACATATATCCTACAAGAAACTGAGCTGCTTAAGCACATGCAGAGAAAAGCAATGAAGCTGGTGAAGGGACTGGAAGACAGGACTTCTGAGGGGAGACCTCATCACTCTACAACTGCCTGAAAGGAGGCTGCAGTGAGGAGGGTGTTGGCCTCTTTTCTCTCAGCTGAGAGGGTCAGTTCTCTCCAATGTTTTTATACGACTTGGACACAGGACTTGCATGCACACCGAGTTTGCTGATGATGGAAGAGCTATGAGGAGCTGTTGCTCCCTTGAAGACAGAAGCACCTTGCAGAGAGATCTTGACTAGAGAGCTGGGCAATGACCAAGCACATGAAGCTCAACAAGAGCAAGTGCCAGATTTGGCTACCTGGGACAGGGCAATCCTGGACAGACCTGTTCTTTGCATAGAATCTTTAAGGTTGGAAACGACATTCAAGATCATCTGGTCCAACCATCCCCCTACCGCCAATGTCACCCACTAAACCATGTCCCTAAGCACCACGTCCAACCTTTCCTTAACACCCCCAGGGTGTAACACCCTGAACAGTGTTAAGGACAGTGACTCCACCACGTCCCTGGGCAACCCGTCCCAATGCCTGACTGCTCTTTTTGAGAAAGAGCATCTCAGAAATTCCAGTCTGAACCTCCCCAGTGCAACCTGAGGCCATTCCCTCTAGTTCTATCACTAGTTACTTGTGAGAAGAGGCCCAGCTCCCCACCCCTTCCTTTCAGGTAGCTGTAGAGAGCAATAAGGTCTCCCCTGAGCCTCCTCTTCTCCAGACTAAACACCGCCAGTTCCCTCATAGGACTTGTGTTCCAGGCCCTTCATCAGCTTCGTGGCCTTTTGTAGCTGGGGGATGAGAGGCTGAAGAGCAGCCTCGCAGAAGGGGATGGGGGGGTTCTGGTTGATAGCACATATCACTCTGCTGCTATAGTACTGACTTTCCTACCTCAAATCACTTTTCTACTTGTAATTGCTGCTACTGTTAATTAGTACTGTATCCTTAGTATTTGTTACATATATACACAAATACTTGTGCCTTAGTGATAACTCTAATATATACATAGATAAAAGCTCTTTGCCTTATTAATCATAGTATTATTGCTAGTAGTATTGCTAGTAGTGATTTGCAGTACTTTATAATAAAGTAACAATCTTTAATAAACAAAGACTCCCAAGTCCTCGTGTGTCATGGAATCCTTTAAGCTCATTATCAGTCTCTGTACACCTGCTGGCCGAGTAGTCCCCCTCTCCTCCTTTTCTGATTGCAACTGTATTTATCTTCCCTATCCATATGCAGATTTCACCTGCAAACTATCAAGTTATACAAGGAACATATGTAAGAATTTGCAAGTCAATTTCACAGGTGTAATTATGATCCCAAATATAAAGGCACCAATGACAGCATTGTGTAGTTAAAAGTGAAAAATGACAAGTTTATTTAAAATTAAAATCCATTGCAGAATATCCAGAATACACTCCTGCTTTCAAAAAGGAAAAAAAAAAAGCTGAATTGTAAGAGTAACTGAAATTACTTGTACATAAAACTGAACTACTTCTCCAGGTCAAGTGGGTGTATGAAGAGCTTTGCAGAGAGCTATCATGGGCAACAGTGAGCAAAAAGAGAATACAGTATCAAAATCATATTACATTCCTGAAGTAACTCAGAAAGATTAGTCTTCAGAATTGCCTTGGAAATTAAGCTTTTGACTGGACTTTGGAAGGGAAGTAATCAGTATCCAACATGAAAGTTACTGTGCCAATGACCATCTGTGTGCAGATTCCTGTAGAAAAATGTACTTTTTCAATCCGTTATCACAGAGGAAGGAGTCTTTCTGTAAAAGGTTTTCAAAACCAAAATGTAGCCTGAATCCGACACTCAGAGTTGGACAGAATTCAGCTCAGTTTTCTCAAGTATGTTAAGAAAAAAGGACTATGACATTTCCTACTACTAAAATTGTGCAGCTGATAAATACACAGCATTTTAGAGCCGCCTTTTTTTTTTTTTTTTAAATATATGTAGTTTTAAAAAGCACCCAGGGAAGTCTGTATTTTTACCCTACTTTTTGAAGACAAAATACCTACAGGCTAAAATAAAGCCCAGATTTCATATCAATTATTAACAAATACAGAAGAGGAAAGGGAAGAGGAACGTTTAGAGAATAACCTTACTAAAACACTCATCTCGCTAGATTCAGTTTATTAATTTTCCAGTTACTCACATGACCTGAGTAAACAAGTTCAGACCAAATATCATTTGTACAGGAATAGCCCCTTCCAAGAAACTTCCAAAGAGTGAAAATATGCCCCATTACCATTAACAGTAGGGGGGACAGAACCCGACATTCAAGCGTAAAGTATGGATCAACTTTATCGGAAAGGAAGCTGACCTTCAAAGGTTTATTTTCCTAAGATGCTCTTTATTGACTTTGTTAACGTCACTCTAGTAAACTGTGCACTTCTTCCTTAAGCGAGACGATTACCCCCTGGAGTAGAAACACTGAAGCTGCTTTTTTCATCTGGCTACGAATACATGCTTCTTGTTATGGCCTCCTCCATTTGGAGGAAATGCAGACTTCTCTCAAAAGAAGCTTGAGACAAGTCTCAGCAAAAATGACCTTTAGTGTTAGCTTGGAAATAAAATAGTCACTTTGGCAAACATCTGTTACTGAAAACAGAACAGATTTCAAATAGTTACGTTATCCTCTGAAATACTTTTGCATGCCCTGCAGATGTGGCGTATCAGCGTGAAAGTACAGTATTTTCTAGTCAGACTGACAAACATTGCATACATTCACTAATCCAGTTCTCTGAAAATAAGAGGAAAAAAAATTTTAGATGTAATACATACAATTAAAAAACTAAGTCCACAATGTTTGATTTTAACCATTATATGATGACTTTAGAAGTTATGCGCATCGCACAAGAAATAACTAACAACTCTCCCAAGACTGAAGTCAAGGTAGTGTCAAAGCACAAAACTAGATTTGTTTGTATATAAATTTAATCCCATTTTTCTTTTCTAAGGTATTTTTAAAAAACACTACTTAAAATAGAACAGATATAAAAAATAACTGAGAACAAAAATTCTAAATTCAAGCACATAGATGCTAATGCTAAAAAGAACAAAAATTCTAAATTCAAGCACATAGATGCTAATGCTAACACAAACTGTTATCACTTACTTTGTTTTGTACCTCCAGTGGATTACAATTACTTTAGGGGCTTTCTTTGAGGTCTTCGTATATCCCATTCCATGTCTTTTTCCATTTGGAATTTTTTGTATCTTTCTGCCATTGAAATAAGCTCATCAGGAACTACCTGATAAGAACACATCACAAGAACAAGCTTCGTTTTAAGAAATTCTGAACTTTTAGACTTTAAAAATACGTAACTTAGTGTTCCCAAACTAGATTGTTATCTGGTTCCTGCCACCTTTTTAGATTTGCTTTTCTGTAGAGGTGCGTAGTTAAGCTGTTACATGAGAATATACTAACATACACTGAAAAATAATCAGCACAGTGTATGTGGATTTTCAATATGCCAGCATCACCGTATCTGAGGACAACTTACTAACAGCTAAGTAAAACATCTGCATTTTAGATAAAAATGCATCTTCCAGCAATGATGAACAGCTGAAGAACATTTCCAGTGCCATTAAAATACAATGGCATGCCATATGTATTGCAAGTCATCCTTCTACAATAGGGTTATAGTGTTGGTTAAAAAGGGAAGGGTAACGGACATCATCTACCTGGACTTGGGCAAAGTATACGGTGCTGTCACGTGACAGCCTGGTCTAATTGGAGAGGCGTGGGTCTGATGAACGGACCGCTGGATGGCCACACTGAAGAGTTGCGGTCAACAGCTCAATGTCCGTGTGTCCAGTGATGAGTGGTGGTCCTCAGGTATTGCGACCGGTGCTGTTTAATATCTTTGTTGTTGATATGGACAGCGGGATCGAGTACACCCTCGGCAAGTTTGTGGATGACACCAAGCTGTGTGGTGTGGCTGATATGCAAGGAGGGAGGGGATGCCATCCAGAGGGACCTGGACAGGCTTGAAAGGTGGGCCTGTGAGAACCTCATGAGGTTCAACAAGGCCATATATGCCTGCTGCATATAGGTCAGGGCAATCCCAAGCACAAATACAGGCTAGGTGGAGAATGGATTGAGGGAAGCCCTGAGGAGAAGGATCTGGGGGTGTTGATAATACAAAGCTCAACATGAGCTGACAATGGGTACTCGCAGCCCAGAAAGCCTGCCAATATCCTTAGCAGCATAAAGAGAAGCTGTGGTTCTTTTAAAAGAAGAAAAATTATACTCCTAGGTTCTCATACTACTTACAAACACCTGCAAGAAGTACAGCTTGGAATAGCAGACAGACACTCATCCAGAAAAGCGTAAGTAGGCCATCACCGTGAATCGTTTCAGGTGGTAACCCAGAACCAATATAAATATTACTGAGTAAGATTTTTTCTTACTTGCTTTGCTCTTTCCAGAATATCAATCAGTTCAGATGCAACCTTCCAATCTTTCCTAGTGACAAGTGTTATTGCCTCCCCAGTACGTCTGGACAAGGAACAAAATAAATGTTGATGTTCAAAACAAGAGATATCTATACTGCTAGTTTTTTTCTGACTGACAGTAATAAATTCAACTGCAGGCAGTTGAATACAAACTTCTAGGTTAAAACTGGCTAGAGTATTTGCTATGCACTTGACAAAGTAACTTTATACAGGTCAGAATATAGCAACTTAGCAAAGGCCACAACTAATTTAGGTATTACAGACAATAAATTCAGGCATAAAGAACATATTTAAGAAGAGACATGCATTAGGATCTTAATCAAAATATGTACACACACAAACAAGGAAATGAATCACATTTGTTCCAGACTTGGAAAGCAACATATGAAAGTCCTACTGACTAGCTAGCTTTACCACCATGATTGGTGGAAAACTAAGTTGTCTGCCCTCCCTCCTGCCCCCAGTTAGCTGCCTAGGAAACTAAACAACTGAGCAGCTCCTGAAGACATAAACAAGGAAGATGATTTCAGACTATCTATACAGAAGGTGTTTTACACTTCATGTCTTCTCCACATTTAAATTAGTTTTCAAACATCTTTCAATCCCAACTACTTAATTGAAAAAACGGAAAATTGGAAAGCTTGTTTGCCTGAAACTTAATGAATGTATTTCAAAACATAAAACATACTTTGGTATATTCTGGAAGCTTCACCCCCCAATTCTGTATCACTTGTTTCTCTTGTTAAATTCTAGAGCTACATCTATGCAATGCATAAAATACTGACATTGATCAATAACACCTTACTGTTTTCTTGCAGACACTTACCCTGCTCTCCCAGTACGACCAACTCTATGAACATATTCTTCAATATTACGAGGGAAGTCGAAGTTAAAAACGTGAGTAATATCATGTACATCAAGGCCCCGGGATGCTACGTCCGTAGCTACCAGGATTCTGACTTTGCCTAAAGCACAGCAGAAGGAGAATTTGATTTTATGGAATATACAAAAAACATGCTCTAGTCTATAGGTTTCCTAGTGCATAATACTCCTGTTCTCAACACATAAAAGTAAATATGTACTTGTTGCACCTCACATAGTGTTGTTTCAGTACTAATTGGTAAGTAAGCACCCAAAATGTGAAATAGAAATACTAGTAAAATGACAAGTAGAACAACAAGGTGCAGGTAAACCAAAAAGTATGCCTCACTGATATTACAAAAAAAAAACAAAAAACCACACAGAAGCCTTAACAACTATTTGTTTAAGACTTCAATAATTTAGCTCTTAGACATTTTAAATTTTATTGAAGAGGAATCACTTTTTGCTTGCTGTTTTTTTTTTTTTTGAATTTGTCAGATTAACAAAGTGACCATATACCATTCAGAGCTCTAGTTTTTCAGTTTCTATAGTGAAAAGACACTGCACTAGAAAAAAAAAGATTCTGCATGTGATAAATTTTAGGAAGTACTGGCTTGCTTAGCCCAAGTTTAGGTACAAGTCTACCTTTCTTGAAGTCATCTAAGGCCTGTTCTCGATCACACTGCTCTCTGTTACCATGAAGAGACTGTACTGGAACTCCCTGGAGACTGAAGTCACTTGCTAAGTCATCAGCTCTAAGATGAAATAAAACAATAGTTCTTTTGAAAGCAT